ACACGACAACTACAACTACAAAACAACTACAGCTACAACTATATGACTGCAACTACACTACACTAATTACATTACACCACAACTACAACTCCACTACGCTACAACTACAACTACAGTAACTACAGTTGCAGTACATCACACTACATCCAGCAGTTGTGGGTGAGGTGACCACTGCAACCATTGCAACCATTCCAGCAAACACAACTCCAACCACCTTTCGGTCAATCAGTGGCTTCGCTCTGCCATCCCTGATTCACAACAACCAACTTCTCCTATAGGTTTCCTATTTTTGAAACTTCCGCCACCGCCTTGTGCGGTACTACTGGTATATAAACGGTTGGTAGGGAGTTGGTAGATGTTGCTAGCATTGTTTGACCTTTTTTGCATGTTATGTGCCACCCTGTGCCATCCGGCTGAAGGCCAGATAGAATCCCAACAAAAGTGCGAAGCTTGGAGCGGTGCCATTTTGCACAAATGGAGCAACTCCTACAGTAGGCACGGCTCGGAGGATCTGGTTGAAACATTTTGAAACCTGAGGCCAACATCATGGTGATGGCCTAAGAAGGCTGAGATATCAACGGCAATGCGTTGAATTGTTTGCTTAAAATCCAATTGATTTTGAAGAGCTCATGAAAGCCTTCTTATCTCACGAGTTGCAAGTAGCATCAAGTAGCCATGAAATATCCAGAAACTTTGCAGGGGATGGCCGTTCCCTCATACCATTTGCATGTCGTTGGGATGACAATGTGATTTGGCATCAGTAAAATCACCTGCTCCCAAACTCGCAGACTGGCCTGAAGAACAATTTGGAATGTGACCAGTTCGACTATGTTCGACCAATCGCTTGATATATGAATTGGTTTTATTTTTTTTCATAGGAGTAGGTATGTGTGTTTTTCAATCGTTTTTTTGAACGATCAGTTGCGCACGGTTTCTAGTGCAGCTCAACACCTCGATACGAATTACTGAAATTCATTGAATATGTCACCGTCTAATATGTCTCAAACCATCGGAGCAGCATTGCAAATCACACACAGGTGCCAAAGCTCATTAGACATCAATAGATCAAACTTGCCGTGTTGATTCATTTTGACCGGTATTGGATGATTTTGGATGATTTTGGTCGACTTTGAAATCTTTCATTTTTCTTGCCCACTACACCACAGTTCGCCGCGGGGTGGACACTAAACAAACATCAAAAGTCCACGACATGCCGTCCATCGTCATCGGCGCACGCGACGAAGACGACGAGGAAAGTCCGGTCTTCGCAGCGCCTCCGGAGCCTCCGGTGCCAGTTCCATCACTGCGGGTCCTCTTTGTAGACGATGATGTGACTTGGCGACCGTTAATTTTGGGGCCAAAAATGGCAAAAAAAAAGGCAACTTATGGTTACTTGATGTTACTTGTTGAATCTTGTTGATCATTTGACATGTCCATGTTATAAACATATATATAGTTAATATGTGTGCATGGCAATAGATAATCACCATTTGAAACTGGTTTAAAAACATGTTCAAGAGGAATTCGAGAGGTTTCAAGAGGCACATAATCAGACATAATCATACAGAATCTACAAATGGGTGATGATTCATGGATATTCTATTGCCGTGTTGGTTGACCAGAGAGTATTTGGAGGTAATTGGACGCCTGGACACCCAGGTTTTGAACTCGTCACCTGACCCTCGGGCAATGCGCTTGGATGACGAGCCCTGGCATGCCCCCAGCCTTTTTTCGAAGCCAGTAGGTCGTTTCAGTGATAAATGAATATCTGTGAATTATGTCTGTGCACATTTACTGTATGTGCATATGGTATGTTATCTCACACATACGTTCTTTATATTGATATAATTTTACACACACACACATATATATATATATATATGGTTTCTCCTGTAGGAGATTTATGCATGAAAAGCCTGCTGCGCAGTTTCGGCTCACAGGGGTCGGAGCTGGGGGTGAGCTCCCTTAGGGGAGTCACCCCCAAAAATGGATGGGCTACTAAGGTTTGCCCAGAGAGAAGGCCTAACAGAAGAGGAGGCCCAGAAGACGCTGAGACTGAACCGCCCAGTCACCGAAGGGGGTTGGGTGGATGCAGAGGATATGGGATCTGAATCCCTCCTGATAGCAAAGGCAGGAATGAAGGCAGGTCGCTACCTAGAATACACCTGTTATGAATCAACGGGGGCCCCTCAAGGATGGGCCGTTCTGAAGCTGCAGAGTTGGGAAGAAGAAGGAGTTCTGAGGGCCTCCCACGGGGAGCGCTCAGACAAGTACTACCAGTGGTATGTTGACCATGACATCCGGGACAAGGGTGCCTTGTACCACGTGTGCACGGGTAAGCACTCCACTTGCAGGTTCAAACTGCCGAGAGAAGACAGGAGGATTCTGATTCACCTAGACCGGTGGCGGCTATTGAGCCCAGCTACCATGGTACTAGGGGAATACATGAAAGGAAAAGGCGAGACCTGGGGCAGGGTTGTCCTGAAGGAAGCTGCGACAGCTAAGTTGGCAGGATGGCCTCCCCCTAGACCTCCAGGGGGTTCAGGGACTCCTGCAAAGACCGCTGAGGGGCTGTGTGGGGCAGAAGGTAGGGCAAAGAGCCCAAAGGAGGGTCCAAAGAAAAGGCTGCCTGATGATCAGGTCAGAGATCAGGTCATCAGCCAGGATAAACGACGCAGATCGGGGTCCCCCCGCCGGAAAAGACGAGAAGAAGGCAGCGCAAGGAAGGACAAGAGCACGGGTCGCCGACGAGATCCTTCCGAGGATTCTTCGGGAGCCAGGTCCCCGTTGGGCCGTGCGCAGGAGCCACGAGGGGATGCTGATGAACCGCCCTCCAAATACTGAAAGGAAGGCTCATGCACCTAGTGCGGGGGGGTTCAAGATGAACGAGGTCCCCTTCCAGGAGGGAGGTTACCAGGAAGCGAGACACTACAAACCCGCTCCAGGAGGAGGTGCCGGTCTTCGGAAAGGAGAAGTGCGGACCGTTGGAGCCAATGGCGAGTACCAGGCGCCAAATTTGAGAAAGAGCCTGGGCCAGCTGATAGAGAACAAGTAGGAAGCCGGCGGCGTTCAGGCTCCCCCCGGGGAGAAGTCCGTGGGCCAGTTAAGCGAGATAGCGAAGGAGATGAAGGATTGCCAAGCTTCAAGGAAAAAGCCGAGGGAAGATCAAGGTCAACTCCTGGGCCTCGAGGTGGAGAGAACTCGGCAGAATCAAGGTGGAGGAAAAGGCCTGGAAGAGACAACACCCCGGCCCGGCAAAAGTCAGAGTCCAGGTCAGCCCCTCCAGAGAGGGTAAAAGTGAAAAACAAAAGGAGGAGGAAATGGCAAGAAAGATCGGCCAGCATGAAAAGTCAGCAAGTTCGACAGACCAAAAGGGAGCCATCCCAGGGGAGTCGGAAAAGCATCAAAAGGGAGCCAAATAGATCCCCCAGCGAAAGGGTCTCAGCTAGCCCGGCGGCTGGTGAGTGCGACGTGAAGCCCCCTGCAAGCAGATTCCTCCGGGAATTCCTTCAACAAGAGGAGACTGGGAATTTGTCGGCGGCACAGCTGATCCGCCACCTGGTTCTCCAGCTGATGGAAACCGACTCACCGTTGAAGGAGTATATGCTTTGGTCTCTACAGCCCCCGACGCGGAGAGAGGGCAGGGTGCTGAATCTGTTCCCCCTCCCGCTGTGGTTTGATGGCCGTGAAGCCCTGACTGAGATCTTAGATGAAGCCCAGGTACGTGACCAACCAGGTTCGTGGCGCAACAGAGGCCGCACCAAGTCGAAGGCAGCCAAGGCTCTTAGGGGTAATGGCTTGAGGGCCTGGCATGGGCTAGTTGTGGTCGCCCTGAACCATCTTTATGGTGATGAGCCGAGGGGCGAAAGGCCATGCGCAGGTGGCCAGGCCACAGCGGCACAAGAGCAGGCCCTGAATACACTGTGGGAATTAGTGAAATCGTTCATTGATGAACGTGAGAGGGCCGGAGTCCCTAGATCTTCTCAGGAAGATTTGGGGGCATGCCATAGACGACTTGAAGGTAAGTTACATTGGTGAGGTGTTTCAGAAAGCGGTGCCGCCTGCCCTGGCCCAAGTGCTGCCAGGCCTGCCGAGCGTAGAACATGGCGGGTCTGTGGATATAATGGAAGTGCTGCCTCCACATTTGCAGGAGGCATTGAAGCACCCGGAGAAGATGATGGTGGAACCGCCTCAGGGCCCTAGACCTCACCCAAAGGTTAGGGTAGTTGATGGAGAGTGGCCCAAGATAGCCCGGGCCCTGTTTGACAGAGGGCTTATCCGGCCTGTCAATCACTGTCCGGTGCTGGATGGTGAAAAAGTGCTGAACGGTGCATTCGGCGTGGGGATGCCCGACAAGGTGACAGAGAAAGGGGAGCCGGTGCTGCGGCTCATAATGGACCTTAGGGCCACAAACTACTGCATGAAGCAAATAGATGGCGAGGTCGGCCATCTTTGTGGTGCGGCGTCCTTCCAGAGGGTGGTCATAGAAAGTGGCCAGGAGCTCCTAGTCAGTGGAGAGGATCTGACCGCAGGTTTCTGTCTGTTCAGGCTCCCCGAGGAGTGGAGCAACTACATGGTGCTCGAAAAGCCGGTGGCCCGCTCAGAGCTAGGTCTGGCAGGAGACGGTGAGACGCTCCTGGGCTTACCAGTGCTGCCCATGGGTTGGCATTCAGCGGTGGGGTTGATGCAAGCCTGCCACAGGGCAATAGCGCTGAGGAGTGCCAGTTTGGGTGGCGCAGGTCTGAAACCCTGCGGAGATTTCAAAGGCCGCCATCTTCCCAGACTGTGAAGTAGCAGCTGGCTGGAGCATTTATCTGGACGACACCACTGTCCTTGAGAAGGTCCAAATGGTGGTAGCTGAGCAATTGGCAGGCAGCCCAGCGGAAGAGCAGAAGCAGCTTCGCCAGGCCTACGCATGGTGGGGAATTCCTACAGATGCGGCCAAGAGCCTCGAGCGTGTGAGGCAGACTGAGCGGCTGGGCGCATTAATCGATGACGAGGCTGGGGTATTGAGGACCAAGACAAAGAGAAGCCTAGACCTCTTTGGGTATGGCTCTTGGATTCGTGGATGTCCCCAAGTCCCACGGAAAGCCCTGCATTTACGCGGGTAAGGCGGTGCACATTCTACAGTTCAGAAGGTGCTTGTTCTCAATTATGGAAGAGATTGTTGCGATGATCGCGCATGGAGGCGAGGTGGTCACAGTTTCTGATGCGCTGGCAGAGGAGATGTTGTTACTTGAGGCACTCTTACCACTAGCACAGTTCGACCTGAAGGCAAAGGTGGACCCAGTGGTCACCTGCAGTGATGCCTCTGAGAGTGGCGGGGGGCTCTGCTTCTCGTCACGGCTCAGCTGGGCCGGACGTGCTGAAGCCGAGTGGCTCATGAAGGAAGGGTCGGAAAGAGACCCCCAGCAGCTGGATGTGGAGGTGGTGTCGGAAGAAAAGATACTGGTGATCGACTTAACTGGGTGGCCTTGAAGTGGCCTTAGAAAAGGCTGGCGTGAAGGTTCTCCACTCGCTCATGGTGGAAAAGGATGTGGATTGTCGGCGCCTGTTGAGGCGAAAGTATCCTGGGTCCGACTTCTGCAGCGACATCACCAAGTTCAATGAGGGGCTCTTGAAGAGGGCGATGGAGAAGGTGCCTGGCCTCACAGGCATATAGTCGGAGGTGGGAGCCCTTGTCAAGGTCTCAGCCGACTTTCGTCGGAGAGGGGCCACCTGGAGGAGGAACGCAGTGCCTTGTTTTATGAGGCAGTGCGCGTGATGGAGATGGTTGAGAGCATGGCCACCGAGCGGCGCCTGTGGGTGATCAAGTTCCTCGAGAATGTGGTGCCGGATGCAAACGACATTGATGAGATGTCGGCAGCCTTAAAAATCCACCCGTTTTTGGTGGAGTCAGGAAAGCTCAGTAGGGTGCGCAGGCCACGCCTGTATTGGCTGTCCATCCCAGTAGGGGACCCGGGGGGCCCAACGCGGGGCCAGGGGTCTTCCTACGATGTGCTGCGGCTGGAGGCCACCCCCGAGCCGGTGGGGAGCTTTTTAAAGCAAGGGATTACCTGGCCAGCCGGGGAGGCTGATTGGAACCTGAAGTTCCCAACTCTCACCAGGTCAGTCCCGCGACGTCGGCCTCCTTTTTGCCCAGCAGGGCTGGACAGCACAGAAGCTGTGACGCAAGACAGATGGAAGGAGGACGAGTTCCGATACCCCCCTTATGTATATGCCGAGCAGTTTTTGGTGAAGGGTAATGATGACGTCCTCAGTCTGAGAGGGAGGTCTTGATGGGGTACCCCTGGGGGTACACATCAGCTCTCCTGAAGAAGATGCCCGAAGGGCAAGAAGAGATCAGGTATGCAGAAGATCTCCGTTGCGCTGCCATTGGCAATTGAAATACGGTAGCTGCCATCTTTGACAAGGCCTTTGCCTCTATGGGGCTGAAAAAGGAAAAAGGTGTGCAGAAAATAGTTGATCAATTCGTGAGCAGCTTGGAGGCACCTCCGGAACCAAGCTTGACGACCGATGCCCCGGTGTCAGAGGGGGAGGACATGATCCTGCAACGTGAAGATGATGAAGAGAGCCTGATGGGTGTTTTGGCTCAGGCGGAGTTGGAATTGAAGGGGCAAACATTCCCGACAGAGGAGGAAATTTTCGAAGCAGGAAAGCGCCTGAGCGTCAAACTGGTGTCAGCGTTCATTCGCAGGCAAGAACTGAGAGGCTCAGACGTCCGTTTGGACGTAGGGTCCCTGTACAGGCCCGAGGCTTTCCCAAGAGGATCGATTGACCCGTCAAAGTGGCTCTGGCACGTGGGCTTGGCTTACCGCTTCAAACACAAGGAACACATAAACCTCTTGCAGCTGAAGGCCCTTGTGGGCGCATTCGAATGGCGCCTGAGGTCAGCGGCGTTTTCAAACTGCCGTGCCCTACACCTGACAAACTCGGTGGTAAGCCTGTCAGCGGCGGTAAGGGGGCCGCTCGAGCTCGAGAGCTTTGAACAAACTCCTTCGGCGGCTTGCGGCTCTTCAATGTGGTGGCGGAGTGTACCCAGTATTGGGCTGGGTCGAGTCCGAGGAAAATCCTGCACGCGAGCCGTCACGGCGCTATACTGCGTAAACACAGGGTTGAAGCCCAGCAGACGTTGGAAGTTTGAGGAGAGACAGGAGAAAGAGTGGGAAGTTGAATCTTCAAGTCATTAGCCGGACCACTGAAGAACGCTATGCCCAGGCGTTCTGAAGGTCCCAAACGTTTTCACAACCTTGGTAGGGGTTTTTGCAATGCGAACTATGAAGAATTTGATGGTACAGTTGCAGATTAATTATTGAAAATTTTTTCTGGAGGAGTGGCGAGCCAAGGCTATGCCAACTACACCCTTGCGGCAGTGTAAATTACTGGCCGCAAACACTCCAGCACCTTGTGACAGGCTGGAAACTGGCAACTATCTGGTACCAAGTTGAGATGCCAGCAGGGAGAACATCTGGGTCTCCCAGGGTAATGCAGGCCTTCAGGGGGTAGCATTACTTTAGCTGCTGCAATTGGCACCTCAGCATGTCATTTTGTCCAGCCTGCTCGCAATCGTTTTGTAGAGCCCGGAAGGAAGCAAAAGCCTTTTCTTTTCACATCAAGGCTTGAATGATGAGCCTATATCTTTTTCAGCCCTTAGAGGGAAGCTGAAAAATGAAAAGGGGATAAATGCCCCCTCATTGGGGTGAGTCCAGGTGATCTTTCGTGGATACCTGGCACAGCCAGAACCTACCTGGAACAGGCCTACAAGCCTTACAATGTCGTTGACATTCCCCACAGCCTCCCCTCCCTGTCTACAAGCGGCCATTAGATTTCTTATCTGTGAGCCAGCAGGGAGCGCGTGGAAGGTAGGGTAAGTAGTCCCTCACTTATGGCCTTCAATGAAGGGCTATGGGTGGGGTTGACATGGCGCTTGTAGCCTGTAAATCAGAGGGCACGGACTGTAGAGTCAAAAACAACAGCCGTGCGTCAGAGCTGCAGGCGGCAGGAATGCATGGTTTCTCCTGTAGGAGATTTATGCATGAAAAGCCTGCTGCGCAGTTTCGGCCCCCCCCTCCTCCCCCCCGCCGTAGTCCCTCACTTATGGCCTTCAATGAAGGGCTATGGGTGGGGTTGACATGGCACTTGTAGCCTGTAAATCAGAGGGCGCAGACTGTAGAGTCAAAAACAACAGCCGTGCGTCGGAGCTGCAGGCGGCAGGAATGCATATATATATATATATACTGTATAATATATATATACTGTATAATATATATATACTGTATAATATATATATATATATATATATACATGTGTGTGTACAATATACATGATACGTTTGGGAAAAGCACAAATATTGCTGGACAGTGTTGCCTGCTTCACATTTTGGTGTTGCCGCAAACCAAGGAGCCCTGCAGGGTGCTGCAAAGTTTGCTGGTTCGGACTGATGCCAAAATGGTCCTGACCAGCCACTGGAGACGGCACAAGGCAAAAGGTTTCTTCCTTATGGCATGGCAATCAGCTTCGCACTAGACATGGCATCTGGATGTGGATGGTCCCAGAAATAATGCTGATAATGTCATATAATGTCAATATATGTCAATCAAAAAAGACCAAGATTCAGTGAAGATAGGCATTGAGGAGCCACCCTCAGGCCACAGGGGCCCCGGTGTAATGCCCATGTCTCCAATTTTCAGATCTGTGGCGCCTATGGAGGCCTATGTGTTGGAGGTTCTTGGGAACTATGGAGTGTTGCCCAAACGCGAGGTGGACACAACACCTTTCAATGCCGATACGTCCAGGAAACCGGTCATGGGGAGAGTTGCCAGGTATGTTTCTTCATGGTTCTTCCATTTCGGAACGACAGATTTGACAGGGCAGGGATTGTTGCACTCTCTGAGCTGTTGTTTTGCCAGGAGGGACTTAGAAATCTTGCAGTGGCTGAACACCCATCGGCAGGAGGCAGCACAATGGACGACATGGCACAACTCAAGGACAACGGAGAGTTGCAAGGACAATCATATCTCTGGCACTCCCAAGCGCAGATTGGCCGGTTCTTGTGAGTCGCTGCTTTTCACCAAAAGAAGAAGCATGAGACGCTCAAGAAACAAACGACAACACCCAGTGGCGTTTCCCAACCCTTCTCCAAAACTCAACCCAAAAATCAACCAACAACCCCTGGAGAAACACACTCACACTCCATCAAAATCCCTGAAAAATTTGCTATACTAAGTTACTAAGTATATCTACCACCAAGCTCTACGATTCTACCAAGCTCCACCAAGCTTTACCAGGTGGCCGCATGGTTCGTGTTGGACTCGCAGACCTTGCTGCAGCACCCGGGCCCGGCTGCGCGGCTGGAAGGCCACGTGCGCCAGGTGCAGGGCAGCCTCAGTGCCGCCGATACTGCGGCAGCGGAGGCGGTGCTGGGAACGGCAGTGCCCACGCCCTTGGATGGGCTGAAGATGGATGAAGAGTGCCTCGGTGGAAGATGGTGGAAATGCAGCAAGTTTGATTGCTATTGATTACATACATTTACATATATACATGGGAGGCACATATATGATCGTATATGATATGTAAGAATGTGTCAGTATGTAATGTAATTATATACGATGTGCATGTGTTTGTCTATATGTATTGAAAAAAAACGATCAAAAATGAAAGACCTGGGAGAGAGGGAGAGAAGGAGAGAGAGAGAGAGATAGATAGATAGATAGATCGATCGATCGATCAAATTGAAAAAACTACATGCACGCACGGTGTCGAAATTTCCGATGGGTAGCTTTCAGGTTGGTCTTCAAGATGCAGGATGTCATGATGCTGTTGTCTTCCTCGCCGCAGTTCCATCCGCCGCCAAGAGCGACTGAAAACTCAAGTGCTGCGAGTTCCTTGCAAGTCAACTTTAGAAGTGTTTCTTCCAGTATTGCATCCAGTGCGCACTTGCTACAGTGCCGATATTCCGGTGACATTTGTTGACACCTGTTTACATTTATCGAGATCTTTGTTATGTAGGACCGCAGACGCATGCAGAAAGCATGAGAGCGTAATTCAGTCTGAAACGCAGCACCTGCCGCAAGATCCCCCGCCCGCACACATCCGCTCACTTTTCCGCAATAATCATTTGGGGTGCCATTTTGCTGCATATTCTGAGGTGAGTTTGATCGGCTTCTGCAAGAAGCGAAGCAACGCTTTCGCTGATCTCTTGGCATGCTGGCTCAAGCTTCTCAAAGGCTGGCACACCGCATCACACCGCCCAAGCCACACTCGGCAGTTGCTGTAGATTTGCATGCCAATGGCCTTAGTATATTCTCGTTCAGGTTGCTTTCAAGGTTTCTGATTCGCTGGCTAGGTCCACGTGGAGGATGGTGGAGGATGGCGGAGGTATGGAAAGTAAATTCATTGGCCTTAGGAAGCCTTAGGATTAGGCACCATGCTTTCCATATAAAATTTATTGGTTGCAGATGTTTCCAGGTGCATTTCCCCAACATCAGAAGCACTCATTGGATTCACCTTAATTAATCCCTTCACCAGAAGATTAAACGTCCCCCCCAAAAAAAACTAGGGTTAGTTTTTATTATTAAGGGGTATTTAATGTTCAGAGGAGAAGCTGGCTCCTAATATTAAATCAAAGACCGTAATTTAAAAAACTAAAATTGTCGATTTCAAAATCGATTAAATTCCTTTTAAAATCGTATTTTCAGGTTTCGGTTATAGCTATAATGCCAAGTAGACCGATAAAACTGCAAATGCATGACAGCAAAACAAAACTTTTCCTCACAGGTGAGTCAAGCCACGACCGGCTGCAGGCAGATCACTCTGAAAGGACACTAGCCCCCTTTGGAGCTAGCGGTGGATTCTCATCTGTTCCACAAAGGCCCGGTTCGCCAACACCCGCTGCCGGTATGACCTCTCCCTTGCCGCTGCGTCTGCACGAAGTTTCCGGGCTACTTCTGTATCACGAAGTGCCCACGTCGCCGTCATCAAGGCATTCATCAATTTCTGGTTGCCACACAGCTTGGTCAAGTCATTTGCAATCAGCTCTTCTCCCGGGACCCAACGGATGAGTCTGCCACCAGCATCCTCAGATAAGGACTGTTTGAGAGCGGCGATGTCAATCGCCAGCCGCTTGTCCTCACCCAAGGCCGTGCCATTCAGTGGATCATATCCCGTTCGGGAATCCAAAACCAGCACCAATTTCCAGAGGGCCGCCACGGCGATCCAATTCGCCAGCGAGAAGTCGGGCTTCAACACCTCGGCCAAAAACGCCCTGGTGAAGTCCGCCTCCTCCAAAGCGCTGGCAGCCTGCGATATCTCCGCAGCCAAACTGGATCTGACCACTCTCTTCTAGAGGCCTGAGTGACGGGTCACGATGCACAGTTTGGATTGCCCCTCTAAGATCTTCAGGTTTGCGAAAGCCACAACCAAACCACCTTGAGAACGTCCTCGAGGCATCCCGGCAAATGAGGCATCCGAGACGGCCAGCACAATCATCTCCGACATGCCCGACCCACCAGGATCTTGAGTTCAGTGAGCGCTGATGGGTCATTGACTCCCGCCAGCTGTTGAATCCTTGGCACTCCAAAAGACAGGTCTGCCCGGCACTGACGTGTCATCCAGTTCAATTGGCCCGTAATTGTTCCAATCAACTTCTTTTCATTGGGTTGTAACGGATGCGCTGTTGTGACGACTGTCTCAAAGGCGGATCCATCAGCCGCTCGGCATAGGAATCCATTTGCATCAGCACGGTGCCGTCCTCAAGCTGCTTCTCATAGCGTCCACAAAACTTTGTCCAGTCACCAGGATGTTTCCATTCTCCAAAGCTGAACAAGGCATGGAGGTTGTCATACATCTCCTGCTGATGATCTGGATGTGCAATCAGGCGTACGTCATCCACGTGTACCGCCAAAAGAGCTCGTAGTTGCGCATCAGGTCCAAAAAATGAGAAAACGCCAGGACATAGTTTCATCTCCCGGCCCCCAATGGACTCAGCATCTCTCTTGAAACGATGATACCATAGCCATAGACGTGGTGATTCTGCCAATCCAAATCCTGCCTTCTTCATGCGAAAAAGGTCGGTTCGGGCTTCAGCAGGGATCTTGTTCTGCAGGAACTGCCTGACAAACAAGGGGTACCAGTAGTTCTTGGGGGTGTGGACAAAGACCCTTTTCTCCGCAGGCAAATAGTCTCCCTGCAAAAAGGCAGCTGAAATGTCTGAGAAGAATACCTTGCAGTTCCACTGTGCCGCACAAAAGCAGAGGAGATTCTGAGCCAGCAAGCTAGCTGTAGGACTCTTCGTCTCATATTCTCCAGCTCGCATGTCTCGATGACCTGCAATGGCCAATCTGGCCTTCAAGGAAGCGCCTTCCAGGGCATTGTCATCTGGGTGAATGTTCCTCGGGTCACTCTGGTTCACCAAAAACCCGGAAGGAAGAATCTCCGTTCGATCCACCACTTCATCTTCCATGACGTGAGTCAACGCGTCATGCTTGAAGCCAAGGCGTCCAAGATCGGCTGCTCAAATGCCCTCTGCCATGCCGGTGATAGATCTGACCACTTCAGCTCCAATCTGACCTTGCCTGTCTCAGGTTGTTGGGCATCCCGAAGATCCTCCGGATCGTCCACCAATTCTTTGATGCCGGCATGCTGTGATTGCTGATTTGGACAAGGCAAATCTGAAAAGCGCACAAAGTTGAAAAACACTTCCTGGAGCTCCTGCTGAACTACATTGATGTCTGCTGCCGCATGTGAATCTCCTCCTGCACCTCCGGCATGTCCAGGGGTCCAAAATGCTGAACCATCATGTCATAATTGGGCCAACCTGTAGCCTCTCGAATTTCCAAGAAAGCCTGAACAGCTTTCTGACCGTCTCTCCACATCTGCTCAGCATGATGTCTTCCCTTCATCCAAGCGTCGAAAGGAATCTTGTATTCTGTCGGGTCCTTGATCTGGTATCTGGTCAACCCTTGCCAAAATCCACCCAAGTTCTGTTGAGTGTTCCATTGAGGCCTCATTCCTTGTCCAACCCAAGTCAGGTTGTCCACAATGAAGTCATTCATCATGAGACTCGGCGGCCGCTGGTAGAAGGGGTCCAACACCATCATACGAGCTTGACCCCACCTCAGTGGATTGGATTGTGCAAGTAGTACACCTGAGTGGCTCGGACACCAGTGAGCCAATCCTTGCTAATCAGCTTGTGGAACTCTCGATGTGCTGCTTCTTCATTGTCACATCAGTAGAAGGCCAAAATGTCGAACATGTGCACTCGGCAAAGTTCACCTTCTTCGACACTTAGGATCCAATAGTCCCGAGATGGAGGAGGTTCTTGTTTTTGGTTTCGGATGATAGGCTCAAACTCTTCCCTCTTGACTGAGTGGTCTCCGCATGCGAGGAGGCACCTCACGCAGCATAGGAGCCATTGTCGGGGGAAGCCGCATTCTTGTCTGCGGAGTGGCTGGCATTGAAGGTGTTGTCAAATATCCAGGCATTTGGTTCAACCAACGAGCGTCTCGATGTAGCACACAGCGCTCTACTCCTTCAACTCCTCCGTCAGTTTCAAAATCCGACGGCATGTCAAATGCTGGTATTTGAAGATCTGCATGATCTCTCACCGGCAAGGTCGCCAACACATTGGTGTCTATTGACACTGCCAGAGCCTCCACCATGTTCTCGTCAGAGTCAGAGAACTCCGTGTTGTAGAACCTGTGTACATCTACAAACGGAGGGTCATCACCTTTGAGGTCGATGCCGAGTCGATGCTCACCTTCTCCTGAGAAGGGCTCGATTGAGTCGGCATCGTCACCTGCACTGATCTGGGCTGCAGCTTCTCTCTCATTCGCTGCAGGTGCTTCTGTGTCTTGTCCATGGCGCCATCAAACACCGCTCGTCTCTCAGAAAATGACTTCAGTGCTGGGTCACCTCTGAGCCCAGTGAACCGTAATTTCTTCTGAGGACGGCTTGAGTTCTCCTTCTGGGACGGCACCTGTTTCTTGTAAATGGAAATCGGCACATCATCCAACACTGGTGGGGAGCTCCGACCTTCTTGTTCTTCATCTGAAAACTCAGCAGGGGGAAATTGAGGATCATGCAAGGGCTTCGGATCATTGATGCCCGTAGCCCCATCTTTCCGTTCCAGAGCCACCACCAATCCGGGCCCCACCCATGAAATTGTTGTCCTGAAGTCGCCGGGCAAGGCCCCGGCGATTTGCCGGTGGTTTCCAAAACATCACCTGGGCTCCTTCCGCCAGTAATTCAAGCTTCGGAAGTCTTGACCGAGATCCAGCTGCTCGCTTCAAGGCCTCATTTGCCTCCATCCACTGGAAGGCATCTGATGCTGCCTTCCACTGAAGCTGGTCGTGAAAGTTGAAATTACATCTGCCCCGCCAAAGCATCCATCAAGGTCCCTGGCATAGTCGAATCCCTGCCGAACACCAGCTGGACTGGCGAGTATCCCGCTACCCGCACTTGTTGGTTCCTCGAGGCTGTGACCAAGGCTACAGCTGACTGAAGGTCCTCCAAGCCCGTGACCACTGTCTCCTTGATCACCTTCATGAGGAGAACTTTCAGAACAGCCCCATGCCTCTCCGCCAGGGACATCCTCCAATGTGCCGTAGGCGGAACCACTTCATGGAAAACGGCAAATGTTAGGAGGGGCTCCAGGATACCTCGGAACTCCGTTCCTTGCTCAGTCATCAGGATGCTTGGAGGTCCAAACACCCCGATCCATCTATCTCGAAGAAGTTGGGTTGTATTCTCGGCTGATGGATCCTTCATGGCCATGGCAATCTGGTACAACGAGAGTCACCGCAAACTTCTCATTCTTGGCGTCCCACACGTAGAAGGTGTCCGACAAGATCCTTTCATTGAACACCATCGGTCTCTGAAAGGCTGCCTTGGGGGTTGCCATAGGTGACGTCACTTGAGAACATATTTGACACTTCAGATGCTTCACCACCTCGATGATCTCCGACTGAGCTCCATTCAGATGGAGCATCCTCTGCAACTTCTCGTTTGTGACATGGCCCGGCGCCACATGCAAGTGCGCCAAGGTAGATCGGATGCGAATCAACGACCCTCCAGCTAAGCTGTGGTTGTCGCTCTTTGTTGACAGTGACTTCGGTTTGTCACCTGACATGAAGTCGACTAGTGGCTTTATATCATCGCTCTTGAAGGCCCAGGTTCGTTTCCTATTATTCTTTGGGATTCAAAAACCCATCAAAACCCAGAGAGCTGTCTTTAGATCAACGACAGAAGCTGCGTTTGTGGCCTTGGGCATTTTGGATTTGCTCTGCATCAAGCCCATTACAGCCACTTAGGTTTGGACTTGTCTGCGGGAATCCTCCTGTCACCGCAATCAAACTGCTGTTGACAAACCGTGACAAACCTTTTGGAATTTCATAACTCGTCAGTTTCATTTGAGATCTCAACCACAGCTACTGTTGTCTGGTTTCAGTATGCTGCACGCCGTTCAGGGCACAGTTTTGTGGATGTAACTAAGTTCCATCTACAATTTCAGTCTTTGGATTTTTCTTTGCCATCTCCATTGGACTTCAATCACAACTGCCGGAGTTTAATTCAGCATGTTGCAGTCGCTAAGCGCAGGTTTATGTGGATGTCACTAAGTTCCATCTGCATTTTCACTTTGGGCCTGCCTAGTCAGATCATTATGTCATTTAAATTTTCTTTGGAACATCCTTGTCCATGCTTAATGGTGGTTGGCTGCTACGGCGCCTCGCCTAATGCTTTTGGACTTCATGCATCCGTAATTGATTTGGATTTCATGCGTCCGTAATTAGGCATCCGCTAGGTGCACGGATTGAAATTGCCGGGCATGATGGATTCAGTAAAGAGAACCCTTCCATCCTCTGCCTGGATAACATTCACTGGGCCATGAGACATGCTAGGAATGCATCCGACCGTAGGCTTGATCATCCTCCGGTAGTTTGTACTCCTGTGTTCGACCCTGTATATATATATATAGCTCATGATAAGGGGGGCTTGAAAGAAATGGAGGTTCACCATACCCATCGTTTCATATTTTTAATGTATCCTTCCCTACGGGTCAACACGTAGTCATGACTTGGTGCCAACAACTTGTTGGCTCAAGATGGTAAAACAAGTCCGCTGCCGTTGCTTCCGGTGAGCCGCGTTTAACTTGTTTCTTTTGTGGTTTTGGGGTAATCATTCACGGTTCAGGTTTTTTATTTCGGGGAGGTTTAGTAGTAAGGGAGTGAGTAATTCAGTTCCACCAAGTCCCTCATGATCCGGCGGCAGGTGAGTTGGGCGAGGCAAAATGCCTCCACAGCTACCATTCGCAGAGACAAAAAGATCGCCATGTTGGCCGGCTGCGGGTCACCATTGGTCACCTGTTTGGAGGGGTTCGCGGCTAATATCTATCGCCCCCAAACCTTGAAAAAAACGACTGAGGCTGGTTTGGAGTGGCTGGTTTCCACTGCTCAGCCTGGTGGTAGGCTCAGTTGCGGCACAAGCGGTGCAGAATTGCTCGCGAGCTGGTTGATTTCAGATATTTGCTATTCCCTGCCCAGCCCTGTCCCTGAGATCCCCAATGCCAAAGAAACAAGACAAATAATTTGTTTGGGAAATTCTTCTATAAAATAGAGGTACCTGGGTACTTCTGGGTACCTTTATAACCCTCCATTTGACTCCTTCTACATGTTTTTTCCCCACCTGCCAGGTGAGGGTTGTTAGATTTTATCAGAGCTGTTCTCCTCCTCCTCCGCCTCCTCCTCCTCGCAGTCCAGATCCCAGTGGGCACAGCCGGACCTCCACCGCGAGCTCCAGATCCCAGTGGGCACTGCCGGACCTCAACCGCGAGCTCCAGATCCCAGTGAACACTGCCGGACCTCAACCGCGACTTCCAGGTTGCAGTGGGCACTGCCGGACCTCAACCGCGACTTCCAGATCGCAGTGGGCACTGCCGGACCTCAACCGCGAGCTCCAGATCCCAGTGGGCACTGCCGGACCTCAACGGCCAGATAGAATGCCAGAAGATATGCCAGATAGAATGCGAGAAGATATGCCAGATAGAATGCCAGAAGATTTGCCAGATAGAATGCCAAAAGATATGCCAGAACATATGCCAGAAGATATGCCAGATAGAATGCCAGATAGAATGCCAGAAGATATGTCAGATAGAATGCCAGAAGATTTGCCAGATAGAATGCCAGAAGATATGCCAGAACATATGCCAGAAGATATGCCAGATAGAATGCCAGATAGAATGCCAGAAGATATGTCAGATAGAATGCCAGAAGATATGTCAGATAGAATGCAGAAGATATGCCAGATAGAATGCCAGAAGATTTGCCAGATAGAATGCCAGAAGATATGCCAGAACATATGCCAGAAGATATGCCAGAAGATATGCCAGAACATATGCCAGAACATATGCCAGAACATATGCCAGAAGATATGCCAGATAGAATGCCAGATAGAATGCCAGAAGATATGTCAGATAGAAGGATAGAATGCCAGAAGATTTGCCAGTAAGAACATGTATAAATGCCATGGTGGGGATCATTCGAAGTGAAGTAATTCCGTTTGGATTTACAAAGCACTTCTTGAGGTTTTACGTGTGTGTATATATAATTAAATTATATAATAGATATTTATATATATATATATGTATGTATATGTATATTGTATATATGTGTGTGTGATTGTGTGTGTGCATCTCCATATAATATATATATATACATATGTGTTCATATGTGTGTTTGTCAGAATTTGTGTGTACAAGTATGTAAACAATATAAACATTACATGCATACAGGGAAATGTTTCTAGACTGTTCGTTCGCACAGTGTTCGCACATGCCCTCATGTGTTCCAGTCTCAATTTTTTCCGATGCAGTGTTTCAGTTTTTCAAAAATGTTGTGGACTTTCTTCATCGCAGCTTACAAAACTGTGCTAGACATGCGTCAAAGAAAACAAGTGCGGCGCGTAGCGTATATATACCAAGTCCATACATATATACAATGCAAGTGCATATGCAAGTAATTAAATAGAGAGAGATACATTGCATTGCATTGCATTACGTTGCATTGCATTGCATGGCATACATATGTACACATATATCACATATATCACATATATCATATATATATGTTCAATTTTATACAGTATATATATATATATGCAGTACGTGTGTGCGCCTGTGTCCTCTGATTTTTGGTGACGAATCGGATGAGTTGAATGCGACGGTGGCGAGCGCCAGGTGACCATTTGCTCCTGGTTTTCTCGGGTTACGGCTGTCAACACCCTCGCAGCCCCGGTTCGGAGAAGTGCGAGGTCACAGGGATTAGCAACTGGGGTGCGACTGGGAGATACTGGATGATACTGGAAGCCATGAATCTGATGAATTGAAGGATGAATTTGGAAGTGCCGGAGTAATTTTGATCAATGTGCGGGTTTGTGCCCAGTTTGGCTTGAAATGATTCGAATGATACATGCCTACCTCAGAAGGCCCCGGCGTCAGTGCGGGTACAAGAAAGAATCATTTCAATACATTTCAACTACTGAAGACCACTCTGAAGTGACCGGGGCCACACCAGACCCACCTTCGGAAACCATTAGTCAACTCTCATTTGCCAACGCATCGTTTGGAGCGCAAGGGATTAAGTGACTGACGTGTATATTCGTTGCAACAGTTTTGGAGTCCTGTCAGGTTGACATTTGAACGTGAAGAGAGCTTGAAAGATAATTCAGATAGTTCCAGATGTTGCTTGGAATTGAGAAGGTGGCAACATATATGACACCATTATCCAGAAGGCTAATACGGACCAGCCTTTTTTCACTTGAGCTTGGTGACAGACAGAATATTGGAACCGACAGTTTTGAAACCTGATTGTTCACATGTGTTGGGGGCTATTCTGAAGCTCTGGATGTTTCTTGACGTTGAATATTTCGCATCCTCAAACTCGACCAGACAGCGGCTGCGTGTGCCAGAGCTATTTGGTGCCCTCGGACTTCGCTGATGAGTTGCCCAAGGGTTTCTTCAAAATCGTGGAGGCTGAGCTGGACTGGCTGTCGCTGATGTTGTGATGATGTTCTGAATCCACTTGAAGTTTTTTCAAGACGCGCGAGGTGTGGAAACTCGATCTCTTGGATTGGTAAAACGTTCTGTTCATATATGGTGGGAAAGCAGCACATGTTTCAATATGGTCAATACATGTCAATACATAGTCATAAAATGTCAAAGGACCTAGAAGATAGTTACTAGATGTTACTATATGTCACTATACATACGTAATGGTATGATAACTTATAACTTATATAACCTATATATATATAGTTATATATATATTTATGTATTATATAAAACGTTTTTTAATTGTTATGTCATACATTTCATTGTAGAAAATAAGCCCAAAGAGTATCCCCAACAGCCAGAAACAAAAACACTTGCCAAACACGCAATGAGTGAAGTATGTTTATTGCCCCGCCCTTCTTACTATAGAGATCGGCGTGCAAGGCGCAATCACAGCACAAACGCTTTATGAAAAAAAACTTTTCCACAAGCATTTGCAATACTGTGGCCAATATTCCCGAAGCTTGTGCGAAGGGTGTTTCCCAAAGAACTGCTGTCCGCCTCGCTCTTCACTTCATCTACCTAACATACATCATCCACATCTCTTATGAGCCTTGCTTGGTCCCTTTCCTGGGAACCTGGTTCCCAACCTTCCACGCGGATTTGGCTGCCCGACCTGCTCCGGGACCTTTAGTATGGCTGAAGACCCCAAGCTTACGCTGTTGGGGAACAATACAAAAAACAATCTATGCATTACAGTCGCAAAGTCCTGTCAAACGGCATGTCGGACAACAGTCACAAAACACGCAAAACCATACAGAATGCAAAACACGCAAAACCATACATAATGCGAAAAACAAATTTGTTTCACATGGTGACGCACTGTTCATGCAATTTCAGCTCAGGTGTCTTGATTGAAAACCCCGGGAACCTTTACAATGTATCCTTGGGAAACTTGACACATTTACTTGGGAACCTCGGAAAGCTTGAGGAAACCTTTACAATGTAACCTTGGAAACCTTGAGAACCTTTACAATGTAACCCTGGGAACCTTGAGAGCCTTTACTTGGAAACCTCGGGAACCTTGGGAACCTTGAGGCAACCTTGAGGCAACCTTGAGACAACCTTGAGGCAACCTTTACACTGCAACCTTGGGAACCTTGAGAACGTTTACTTGGGAACCTTGACAATCTAACCTTGGGAATCTAATAGAAACCTTTCCAATGTCACCTTGGGAACCTGGACAACGTTTACTTAGGAACCCTTTACAGAATCACCTTGGGAACCTTGACAACCTTTACTTGGAAAATTTGGGAACCTTGAGGGAACCTTCGCAATCCAACCTTGGGAACCTTGACAACCTTTGCAATGTAACCTTGGGAACCTTGAGGGAACCTGTACAATTTCACCATGAGAAAATTATAGAAACCTTTACAATGTCACCTTGGGAACCTTGAGAACCTTTACTTGGAAACCTTGGGAACCTTGAGGGAACCTTGAGGGAAGCTTTACAATCTAACCTTGGGAATCTAATAGAAACCTTTACAATGTCACCTTGGGAACTTGGACAACGTTTACTTGGGAACCCTTGGAACCTTGACAACCTTTACTTGGAAAACTTGGGAACCGTGAGGAAACCTTGGGAACCTTCAGGGAACCTTGGGAACCTTGGAAACCTTGGGAACCTTGAGGGAACCTTGGGAACCTTGGGAACCTTTACTTGGCATCCTTTACTTGGGAACCTTTGCGACTTGAGACATTTACTTGGGAACCTTGGAAAGCTGCTTGAGGAAACCTTGACAATGACAATGTAATCTTGGGAACCTTGAGAACCTTTACAATGCAACCTTCGGAACCTTGACAACCTTTCCTTGGAAACCTTGGGAACCTTGAGAACGTTTACTTGGGAACTTTGGAGGGAACCTTTACAATCCAACCTTGTGAGCCTTGAGGGAACCTTGGGAATTTTGAGGGAACCTTGGGAACTTTGGGAACCGTTGGAACCTTGGGAACCTTGGAAACCTGGGAAACCTGCAGGGAACCTTGAGGGAACCTTGAGGGAACCTTGAGGGAACCTTGAGGGAACCTTCACAATGCAACCTTGGGAACCTTGACAACCTTTACTTGGAAACCTTGGGAACCTTGAGGCGACCTTGAGGTAACCTTTACAATGCAACCTTGGGAACCTTGAGAACGTTTACTTGGGAACTTTGGAAACCATGAGGGAACCTTTACAATCTAACCTTGGGAACCTTGAGGGAACCTTGGAAACCTTGG